ATAAATAAAACGTTTTGGCTTGCTAGGGCTTCGTCCTTAAGTGAGAAGGTATAAATTAGCATGAAAATGAAAGAAAAATGGTCTTGGTTTGTCATTTAAGGTACTCTTGGAAGGAGAAGATATTGAAGATTTGATCTTCAAATTAGAGAAGATTCTCCATCTTTTGCTTGTTTTTCAATGATAAATCTTGATTCAGTTTGTTTTTGTTATTTTATTTGTTTTTTGGTATGAATTGAGTTGTTTAGCTAGGGTTTGATGTAACATTGATACAATGATTCAAATTTATGAATTGATTTACTTTGAGTTTTAATTTCATGATTGAGTGTTTATCTCTTGCTTAAGACTTTTGGATGCTTGATCACATTCAAATGTGTATATATTGACAATGGGACTAAAGAGATGATTGATTGTGCCTCTTGATAAATACCATAGATTAAGCAAACGCTAGAAATAGGTTTACCGATTATGAAATCTAGATAGAATTCCATAAAGCTTAAAAAACTTTGACTATTAATCTTCATTTTGTTGGGTGCGGAAGCTTAATAGGGATAGTAGGAAAATATAGCCTGAGAAGATATGTTTACAACTTAGGGAATTCGGTTTTCAATCAAGGAATTAGAACTTGGGTAATAGATTCTATGATTTGGGTTAGCGTATCTAGGTGAAATCAACACCCTAGCATTTTTTTAGCATTTTTTTTAATTTTAAGTTGTTGGGTTTTGCTTTAATTTCATTATATTCATTTATACTTTCTTAAATTGTATTTAGTTCATTAATTTTTCATCTCCAATTTATTGTTGTTTCAATTAGGACTTAAACTAGAGAAATCGGTACTTAGTAACAGTATCCTCGTGGAACGATACTCTACTTATCACTTTATTACTTTTTGCGACTAGTGCACTTGCTAAATTTGCATGTTTGTCAAAATACGCATCAATAACTCTTTTAATTATATTGGATTTAAGTGGATCGTTAGATTCCCGGTGATTTTTTTATCTCTTCACATTGAAGAGGTTTTTCCACGTAACAATTTTCTTGTGTCTTTGTAAGGTTATTTTCTTTGTTTTCACTAGTTGATTGTAAGCAGTGGCAGAGCGGGGGCCTCCCCTAGACAAAAATCCTGGGTCCGCCACTGAGTCAGTGGCGGTTCTCTGTTTTTCGTTTCAAGTGGCGGGTTTCTGTTTTTAGTTTGAAAGAGTTTATTCATTGTATTTTTTTTTTTTTTTTTTTTTTTAAGGCTTTGAGGGAACTGACGTGGCTATTAGCCACATCAGTTAGTACTGAATTTGTACACTCTCATTAGTGCAGGTATCTTATTGCAGAGGAAACATATAATAAGATCAAATGTTAGAATTAAACCAATTCGCTAGAGCTGGTCAAGGACCAGTCCCAAATGGGACCAGTCCATCCTGAGCAATTTTAGGACCCAGATGAAATTTATTTTCCCCCTAATCTTTTTATATTTTAGGCAAAACAAATTTTGTAAGGGTTTTTAGTATTTTTCAGGGTAACATTTATAAATTTTTCAGGGCTTGGAATTTTTTTTTTTTTAAAAAATATTTGTAAAAATTTTTTAACCCCTATAATTTATATTTATTTCCAAATTTATAGGAGGTTTTAGTAATGTACAGGACAATGGCGGATCCAGAAATTTCTATTAAGGTGGGCCAAAATAAAAAACTAATTACACATTAATATTTCTGTTAAGAGGGGCTAAAACCAGAAATTGCATATATTAATATTTTTAAAAAAAAATTGAAGGTGGGCTAGAGTTGCATTTGCCCCTACTGATGGATTATCGCTTATCCGACACATTTTGGAGGTCCCAAATGGGGTTAAATTTTGTATTATATGCATTTTGTAATAATGAAAAACCTAGAGAGTGAGAAATAGAGAGCAAGAGTGAACTACCGTCATTTATTGTACAATGTATTTGTTGTAGCTTTCTAAAACTCAATAAAATTACTTTATTTGAATGTTAGACGTAGTTTCTTTCTTGGAACGAACCATGGTAAATCGTGTGTCCTTTTTACTTTTCTATTTTGTTGTTGTGTGTGTTTTAGTTATGGTTTCAACAATGTAAATACATCTAAAATCTACTAGATAAAGATCAAATTCAAGAAAATCTTATCTTCATTTATTCAGGATTTCATATAGCATTCATCTTTATCACTGGAATAGGCTTACTATTACATAATGGTAGCAGGAAGGAGACAATAGTTGATGATGCATACACAAGAGTTAAAAGGATATACAGAATTAAGGTCAAGAAATGGATTTTTAAATTGCCATTGATCTCTTTGAAGCATTAAATTAAGTTTAATTGAATATTGTAAACGCATGAGTTGATGGATTTTGCGGATTGGTCATCTGTTTCAACTCTGAAGGAATGGCAGATAGTGCCTTATGTGGAACGGATTCTTCCCATCCTTTGGTGGCCTTCAAATCCTTTACCATACAAAATACAGTGTTTGAAAAGTCAAGTCTTTTTGTTATTTTTATTTTATTCATTCTCCACCGAACTTGTACTATATTTATGAGTTAGAATTTTTAGTTATATTTGTCATGTATTTGTGTTATTTCGCTAATTTTTTGGACTGTTATGATGTATATATATGGTTAAACTCCCTCTTCCCCTGAACTAGCTTTTGAGTGTATTTTACCCAAACCCGCTTACCACTAAGTTTCTCTATCTTCTTCCATTTTGTTTCTTTTTCATGTTCCACCTCTATACTGGATTGGACTGCAATATGGATACATATGCTCGATCAATTCTCTTTAGAACTTGTTTGAAGAATCATTTATGATCCATTCTATCCCATATTCTATTGTTTGTCACTACAAACAAACATCCTAATTAATTAACTAATCATGCATCTATCAGCTGGTTAAATTTATAAGCATTCTTACCCATATATATATACTGTATAAGCATTTTCCTTTTTTAAATTTCATATAATTAACTTATCTTTCTAAGGTAGTTATGTCCATGAAATATACTACTGAACTACTATTTGAAGCAAGATAAATATATTAATAGCTAGTGGGTAATTAGAGTTTAGGGTTTACGGACCCATTCATGGGTAGCTCACATAGTTAGGGTGAATTGGGGATAATGTGAATAGGTGTACAGTTTCAGGTTTGATTTCTCATTTGAGCATTTGTGATTTAAGTGGGGGGAAGGCATGATGGGTTCTTGCGCTAGTTTCCTCGTGGATTAGTCGAGATGTGCCTAAGTTGTCCCCAAACACATTGGTTAAAAAAAAAAAAAAAAAAAAAAATTTAGGGTTTAGGGTTTGGATGTCAAATTTGTAAGTTTAGAATTGTTCTTTGCTTGTTTTATAATAAATCTAAGTTAAAGCTCGAATTACTTTTTTTTTTTTTAAAGACAAGGACTGATTTGAATGAAGGGTGGTTAGCTTTTGTAAAGTTTGATGCAATTATTCATCTCATGGACCCAAATTTTCATCAATTATATTCTGTATTTAGTGTGGTACTAAGTGGGGTTTTGATGTGTGAGACTCAGGAAGAAGTTTAGTGGTGATGGGGAAAGACGACATCGCTAGAAAACGATGGAAAAAGCAAGTGGCATCGTTTGCTAACGTGAGTCAATGCACTTTAGCCTACTAACGTTTGCTAATTCTATTTCTTCGAGGTTTAGAAAGTAATTTATTAATTTTATTTTTAAGGGTAGTATGTTAATAGCACCCTCTATCCCTATGTCAGAACCTAAAAATCACTAATTCTGTTGGTTTAGTTGTGAGAATCTAGAATTTATGAGACCAGAGGTGGAAACTGCCATTTTGCCAAATCTTGGGTGGGAACATGTTATTTACTCTCCATAGATTTGTCGTTGAGCAGCTTAACACATGTATAGCTGGAATATAAAACCGTATCCTCAATTAAATTATTTGCAGTTTTGCACTGAAAACTTCAAAGTTCAAACGACAGTTTCGTCGCTATCTACCTTGAATAGTTTATAAATGGGAGAACCACATTTTCGTACCCAAGGTTTGGCGAAATGACAATTTCCCATCCATCAAGTTTTAAAATAACACTTTCCCAACCTTTATCAGGTTCTGTTAGTGTTTTCTGTTAATATTTGACTAAAAGACAAAAATACTCTTAAATAGTTTATTATAAATTAAAATTTAGTTAAGTGAAAGCCTTTACTCAAGTGTAAAGATATTTTTTTTTCCTTTGTTTAATTAATTAATTATGAATATTAACTATTAAGATTTTCTATGTTAATTAGTAAAAATAAAAAACATTATATTAGTAGATTATTGAATAATAGTGATGAAATATTTATGACATTATAAATAAATAAATATTAAGATCATTTAACTTTAAACAATTTTATAGCATTATTCTTAAATTTTTAGTTTGTGTTAACTATTTTTTCTTTTTTGACTTTTTAATATCTTACTTTTTGGCTAATTCAAAAATAAACAAGAATTTATAAAGTCAAATATTTAAGGGCATTTTCGTCTTTTCAGTTAAATATTAACATAAAACATAATAGATTTTAACAAAAGGTGAGAAAGTGTCATTTTGAAACTTGACCGGTGGGAAAGTGTCATTTTGCCAAACGTTGGGTGGGAAATGTCGTTCTCCCTTTATAAATCAAGTAGTACTGCTTGCATTGACACACAATATATTATGTTTTTTCATATTATTCTGGGACTCTGATTGATCATCCAAACAACTTCGAACAACTGTGGGGCAAAGACTGGTTTTTCGAAGGAGGTTTGAACTTTCTTAAGCAGAACAACACGTAGCCATAGCAATAGATGAGGACACTGCAACGCAAAAGCAAATCTGTTACATGAGCAGTACAAGGAAACCTCACCTAAAACATTAGAGAGTCCTTGATGTTCCTCGTAGGAAGGTTGGTGGAAATTCACCTCATCTCTTTTGAGGTGAATTTCTATCCACATATAATTCATTCGATTTCGACTTAGTGACCACTCGTTTGCTAATTAATCGAAATGACAGTTACAATGAAAGACTGGTTGACTGATGTTACATTATTAAACGCAGGCTCATCAGTTTGGAACATCTATCCAGGTTCCTGCATTTAGAGAGGAGCTACTCGTCTCAGAGATCTGCCATGAAGGTAATGTGACTTCATTTCATGCATGTTCAGTTTCTCTATCATTTATTCAATCTTTGATGGTTTCATGCTGCTTGAATTTGATTCAGAAAATAGTGATTAAAGTTGCAATCAACTGCCAAATTTGCAAGACCGATGTGCTGAAAGCCGTTGCTAAACTTACAGGTGCCTTTTGGATCGTGCTCTCTTGCAGACATAGACATTCATGTATTTTTAAAATCTAAAGTGAATGTATTGTGCGCAGGTATCGATCAGGTATCGGTGGATGGAGAGAAGGGAATATTAACAGTTGTAGGAGATGTTGATCCGGTGTTGGTAGTGAAAAGACTTAAAAAGATAAAAAAGTGTCCGGAGATAGTGAGTATTGGACCTCCAAAGCCACCGGAACCTGAGAAGCCGAAGCCGAAGCCACCTCCAACTCCTGTTCCTTGCCTTCCTCCATCATGCAAGGACTGTCAACTTGTTGCCGTGGGTTACTACTTACCCTATGAAGGCCGGATGTGTTCCATCCTCTGAGGAATCCAACCACAAATCCATATTTATATTTATTGGGTCTCATCTGTCCAAATACAAACTGACCAATCGTGAACTATCACTTTAGGATTATATAAAAAAATTGTATGAAAAAATTATAAGTGTAGTTTTATTGATATTTATTTCTCCTTAAATACGCTTCACTTTGTTTTGTATTGAAATTTTCTACTTATAATATCACTTATTTATGGTAATATTTAAGCGAGTAATACTACAATTACAACCTCTTCTCACAAACTTTCTCTCACAACCTCGACATAGTAGCTTACAATTGGTCAGCTTATAATAAGACCCACCTAAGTTTCACCTGATAAATTACGATTGACCAATTGCGAACTACCACATCAGAGTTGTGAAAGAAAGTTTATGAAAAGAGGTTTTAGGTGTAATATTACTCTATTTAAGCATATCAAATGATTGTAAACTGCACAGTAACTCTATGATCAAGTTAATTTACAGCAAGATAGTAGAAATTATATAACATTTTGGTGGATAAAATTAAAATGAGGGTGTTTTGATGTAGCTGTTGACTAACAATATTACAATATACAAGTTGTTCATTAGAAATTTGACACCAGGGATATCTAACTAGTCTATGTTTATTAATTATTGTCACTCTACATTTCCCAATTATATAATAATCACACTTGTGTCAGTTGTACAAGAAATTGAGTCAACCATAACTAGAAAACAAAAAGACCAAAGGGGGAATCATATTAATTGTTTATAAATTATATCTTTTTATAATACACATAATCACGATCCTAATTTTCAATCCCAATTAATACTCCATACACATGCTATATCCCTAAATTTGTGCTAGGAAGATCGATATCTATATACTCAAAAGGGATATATAGATTATCGAGAAGAGAGGAGTCATGACGATCCCCTCCAGATCATCCAGATCTTACAAGTGAATAGAAAGTTGAATATATTTTGGATCTCATCTGAATTGCCCATCTATTCTCCTCAGGAGGAGTTTGGTTTCAAACCCCCGATTCGAACAGGAGAAATATGCCATGATAATGTGCCTTAGATGATCTACATCTTACAGTCAATTATGGTCCAACTTTGTATACATTGTATCATTCCTTCAAATATTATTTTTATTATTATGATACAGAGGGAACATATGAATAGAAGATCAAATGTGAGAATTAAACCAATTGGCTCAATCAAAGAACTTTAGGTTAACTACTTAGTCCCTGTGGTTTTCAAAAAAATTTTAAGGACAATAATTTTTAAGGACAACTCTTTTATAAACTAGTAAAATCGCACCGACGCTATGGCTAACAGATGTTGGATCCAATTTAACAGAGTAATGGTATTTGTGTCCAATTGATTACTTTATTAACACAAACCCAATTGTCTTTGCTTCTTCACCTCTGTATTCCGAATTTGCTTATTCTTGAGAATCAATGAATTTAGTAAATTGGGGTTGATTTCTGTTGCTTGATTGTGAATAATGCTTTGAGGATGTGCTCTTGTTTTGTTGAATTGAGTTATGCATCCAAGGTGTTTGAAGAATTTCCTGTGCGGCTGCGCTCAGTCTGATTGCAGTGATGTTTAAGGGTGTTTTCTTCTCTACCCAGAATATATATGTTAGATAACTTGAATCTTAAAAAGTTCTGGTTATTGAAAAGCGGGAGGAAAAAGCCAGGATCAGGTTTTTTAGTTTATCGGTACCTATGATCATCATGGAGAGTTGAGTTGTGGCTCTCACTTTGATAGACCATGTAGGCAGCCACTGGCTGCTTTGTCGAACTCGACTCACTGGGTATTGGGTTTCTAGCCTCCAGTTTCTGGAGAGTTAGAGAGTGAAAATGGTTGAGGAAACGAGAGTTTATTTGGGTTTGACTCATTAAGGGCACAAAAGACACATCATGAGTATTTTTGTCCTCAAAATAAAATAGTTGGCTACTTGCACTCAAATGTCAACTTTATAGACTGGTTATGCGAATTTTTTAAAGCTCATCTGGGTGTGTCAAACAACCATGAGTGAATCGAAGATGAAGAAGAAGAAACATAGTTGTTCTATCAGAGGAGAACTCTATATTCTCGTAGCGTATGCAGTAGTCTTCTACGTTTTCATTATTCGTCGCTCTCTTCAAATCTCTAATGGTATTCCATTTCTCTATCTATGTTTATGAATTTAACTACTAAGAAATGATTCTCAATTCTCAATTCGTTGTTATCTCTCTCTGCCTCAGATCACTATAAAAAACTCTACGTCTTGCGCCCCGGCTGGCTCTCTAATTTTCTCTATGTAATTTACTTGAACCCCCTTTCTATTATCATCTCTTAGTTGTAATTAATTAATGTTTATTAACTTTTTTCTTCCACTTTGTTTTAGGATGTCTCTGATGCTCAATGGAGAAACTTTCGTTCTAATATACCTATTCTTTCCGTGGTTTTTGGAGTTTTTGCCACACTGGCCAATTCCCTTAGAGCTGTTTTTCATTTTAGAGCCAAAGGGATGTCGATTCTCTGGCTTTGCCTTTCTTTAGTTTACCTATTCTATCTGCATGGAGCTTGGTATGCCCTTTTTGTTATACTCTTTATGTTTTGTTTAATCTTGGGATTTCAGTAACACTATTGTTTTAATCTCCTTGTAGTGTTATATTTATCCTCTCCATTGCCTCCCTTAATTTTCTTCTGGTCAAGGTATGTTTGCCACTCCATCAATTTTTAATCTTTTAAAGTAGGTAATTTCCCATAAGAGTTATCTTGTTGCTGACATATTTAACTACATTTGTCTTTCTGCAGGTTTTTGCACGAACAAACTACTTCCCATTTCTACTTTGGGGCTTCAACATATTTTTCCTAATATGTAATCGTGTTTATGAAGGATATTCATTCTCGTTATTTGGGTGCGTTGTGTATGATACATTAGTAATTGCTTGTTCTTTCATGTAGTAGTTGCATTTCTTGTTATCTTACTTCTAACTGAATGAACCTTTGTGTTTATGTTTTCTGTCCTGCTTAGGCAACGATGGTCATATTTGGACAACTTTCGAGGGACCTTTAGGTGGCATATTTGCTTTAATTTTGGTATGCGCTTGATTCAATTCATTTGTTGTCTTCCTTTTTGCTGTGATTTTTCTTCATATCCTTGAGTTAAAACATCATATGTTCTAATTTTACAGTTAATGGAAATTTACATGCTACTGATCTCCCTTTGGGTGCTTTGCCTATTGTTGGATTAGAGCCAATAGGGTTCACAGTTTCCCATGTATGCTTGACTTTCTAGTGAAGTAATCTTGAGAAAGGCTACAAGGTTTTTGCTAGAGAAGTTAGTTCTTTAGCCACATAAATTGTTATGGGCAATTACAGAACTATGATAGTTGGACAGGCTACTCCTATTACTTTAGCTGGTAGTGTTACTTGGGTATCAGAGACCTTGCAATTGATTGCCTCTCACACCAGATTAGGGGTTTTGTTAATCTTCAATGGAGAAAAGAAATATAGCTTTCAGTTCAGAATAGAAGTTATTCTTGTAGAATGGAATTGTTCTTTGGAAATCTTAAATGCAATATTTTATTTGTTTATATGGTGTTCTTTTAGGCAGGTTTCTTATTTAGATTAATTGTTTCAGTTATTTTGCGCATGATAAGCTTCGGATATGATTACTTTTTGGCCCATCAGGATTCTCGATTCGATCATGAGGTATTTGTGTCACAGAGACTCTGGTACTGCAGATGATTTATTCATTTTCTTGTTTTGTGGGAATGCTTACTTTCTGTTTGGTTTCAGCTCTACTTAGGTTTCACTGCCATGTCTGTTAGGAAAATAAAATTGCAAATTTGGTAGCAATGAACTAGTGCTTGAATTTTGATTCTGCTATGAAATATTCTGCACACATTCATTTGCCTTGAAGTTTCTGTATTGAAACAACATTGTTTGCCTGTTCCTGAAGAATAGACCCTCCATATTCTTGTGCCCATCATGTTGAACATTGATCTGGAAAATTCTGGGTTCCTAGGTATATAAATTGATATTTTCTTAAAAGTTTATGTTTGCCTGTACTCAAACAGTCATGGGAAACAATTATTTTACCCAATCAGAAGCAAATTTTTTCTGATATTTCTTCACACTGCTCCAATAACTGTAGAAGCATGTCCAACGTTGCCAAAATTGTAAATCGGGAAAAAGTTGCTTGGAAGTTCTACAGGTTAGCAGCTACTTAGACAGAGTCATAGTACTAGTGTTCTTACTGCATCCTTGTCGCTGCTATCTTCTGTACTAATAGGTTTTGATGTTCATGAATTTATTTTTGCACACAGGAGAGAAGTGTCATTGAAAGTTTCACCTTTATTGCATACCTCTGTTATTTGGTATATGCTCCTCTTTACATTGCTGGGCCAATTATAAGCTTCAATGCGTTTGTTTCACAGGTCAGTGACTCTCATCCTGATACTATGTTTTCATTGTTTTCTTTTTTCTTATGATAATATTACAATTGTATTTAAAGCTGTGAACTATTCTCTGGATGAAGTGGTTTTGGTGATACCCTCTGTAGTTGTACTTAGTCATTGGCCTCATTTCTCACCACTGTCATGGAGTTCTAATTGTTTTGGAAGTCATTAAGAGTCTGAGTTAGAGAAACAATTAAAGCATTTATCTGGCCAGTTTTTCGATCTCTGAAGAATATTTTTAGTGGAAGGCCCAAAAGACATGAAATAAGCAATTCCAGTAAATAACAACATTAAGGCCAACATGCGCAAGTGATTTAGCTTGTGGTATCATTAAACTATTAGGAGTGTGTAACTTATTCATGTTACTCCCAAAATAGGCCACAGTTGTCTGGAAGTTAGAGGATAAATAATTATAAATTACAAACATGTAACTTGCCATTAATTATTTTCTATTGAACAACACTGTGGCAGTACACATATATTATGTTTCTCAAAAAGCTTTGTCAATACCGGAACTTTGTCATGGAATCTCATTGTTTTTTCTTCCTACAATGATTTTTCAGTTAGATGTACCTCAGAGCAACTACTCAAGAAGAGATGTGGTTTGGTATGGGTTACGCTGGGTCTTTAGTCTTTTTCTAATGGAACTAATGACACATCTATTTTATTACAATGCTTTTGCAATCAGGTAAGTTTGAAAAGGATGAATCTTATGTCAGAATTGTTGTAATCCAGTTTTGTTGACAAGTAATTAATTTTGTTTCTGCAACACTAGTGGCATTTGGAAACTACTATCTCCTTTGGATGTGTTCATCATTGGATATGGGGTAAGACATGATCTTGATTATTTTATGCTTTTTCCATTTAGATTATGGGTATATCAGATTTAAATATGAATCATCTTGAAATATGTTCTTTTGATACACAACATATTTTTTTTATATAATGAAGTTACCTGAACATGTTAACTATATAAGAGCATTGCAAAAGGAGCCTTAACTTCTGCTGTGATGAGAGATCAAACTTCCTACTGATATTTTATTGAAGTGCAAAAGAACTCATGTGCTATGTGGCTGAAACAAGTTCTGAAAATTTATTACCAATTATCCTCACCTTCCAAGGGATTTCTATTATGGAAACGAGCACTACAGTTCATAAAATATGTTATACCGTCAATTATCTCACTAATTACCCGTGTGAATGACCTAATTGGACTAGTTTTCGTTATAATTCTTTTTTCCTTTTTTTTTTCAATTGCTGTAAATTTTGAAGCATTATTTAGAAAGATAGACAAGATTTCAACATCACAATTTATGGTTAAAGGGGCTGTAAAGTTTGGGCTCGCTTGTCCCATATTATTTTCTGTATTGCCATTTTTAATTTTGATAGATAGTAAGCTTCAATTCATGGAATTGTCATATTGATCTTATACTTTTGCCATATGCTATTACAGGTCTTAAACTTCATGTGGTTAAAGTTTTTTCTGATCTGGCGCTATTTTCGGTTCTGGTCGCTGGTATATTTTGTTTCAAATTGTATTTTTCCCATTATCTTATTTGTTCTTGAACTGCTGCCTTAATTTAGCTGCTTCGTGGGTAGTATTGGAACAGATTTATCTGCTTTTCAATTGTAACTTGTGGTAGGCTCTTTTTATTATCTTGTATACAGCTGGAGAAAGCTTATTTCTTTCCATTTATATCATTGTAGATATGTGGCATTGAGACTTGGGAGAATATGCCTAGATGTCTTAATAATTGCCACAACTTGGAAACATTTTGGAAAAATTGGCATGCTTCCTTCAACAAATGGCTTGTGAGGTACATCTTTCAACTCTTCATCTGGTCTTCTCCGGCACTTCGGTTGATTCAGAAATGTATAATTGAAAATGGCTAAAATCTTAGGTACATGTATATTCCTCTTGGGGGTTCTCAAAGAAAGCTTCTTAATGTCTGGCCTATATTCACATTCGTTGCTTTATGGCATGATTTAGAGTGGTAATTCTTCTTTCCATCGAATTTTTTTTGTTACTTCATCTGTCATTCTGTAGAGTGATATAATGAAAATTGTTCAGTTTTACCTTTACCTGAAAGCTTATTCTCTCTTGTTTTAGGAAGCTTCTTTCATGGGCATGGTTAACTTGCTTATTCTTTATTCCAGAAATGGTTGTGAAATCAGCAGCGAATACATTTGAGGTGATCCCTATCTTTCCCGGAATTCTTAATGTTATATTTTTCATGTATGAGTTAGGGTAAAGTACACCTTTGGTTCTGAGTTCAAGCACTGGATTGCTTGACCTAGCTGATGTATTGTCGGGTTGATCTTCGAGTACTAATGAATCGAACAACATTTAACTTATATTCTGTTTATACCTATATACATTTATTTTATTAAATTTCAGGCTTGATTCAATAGATTATCTTTGTCCTAGCATGATCGAGTGAGTTGTTACCCAAGTCTTTAAGTCTATTATACCTAGTCTTATGGTTGAGATATTTGCTGTTGTCCCTCTTTTTTCAAACAATCAGTTAGACCTCATGTTCCTTTCTAAAAGCTGAAAGTACTCTGGCTCTTGTCTCCTATAATGATCATGCGGAGGATAAGTAGAACATTTCCTGAACCATTGGACTTAATAAGAGCTGAATCTGAGGAACTAAGGTAACCCAATAGTAACTACCAAAGTGAGGACCACTATGCATGCTGGTTTAGTAGACTTGTGAGGGAAAAAATTATGGAAGGTGCAAATACAATTAGTGGATTGAAGGAAATATGATTTAACTGCTTTGAATTCTAATAAATCTAATGACTACAATAGTGATAAGTATTTACCTTGTTTGGTTACAGAATGAGTTTTAGATTCTTATGGATAAAACAGTTTGGTATATTGAAGATGTTCAGTTACTATAGAAGGATGAATGGAACATATTTTGCTTCCCCTAATAGCTCAGGTAGTGCACTAATTGTGGTATTATTGAGGATATGACAACAGCTAAGTAGAATTCATTCTTCAGCTTTCTTTAATACCTTTTGCTGTCAACAATACTCAATAGTATTTTAAGTTTGATTGTCTAATGTATATATTTTGTTGTCAGGCTGAGAGTGCTTTTGGAGAATTCATTTTCCGAGAACTTAGTGCACTTGCTGGTGCCATCACAATCACTTGTCTCATGGTATGTTCTCAACTGCATTAAAGCTAGAGTAAATTTTAAGTTATTATTTAAATTTACTACTTAAAATTTACTCGTCATAACTTTCTTTTTAAGTACTCAAGATTCTTGTTAATGCTTTATTTGTTTATGTGCTTTCACTTTGTTCTTCTAATCTTCTGAGATTTCAGACTGGTTGGTTCAGGACCTTAATTTATCTATGCACCTTTAAATTTAGCATACTTTTAAATCATCTTGGAATTCCATATTAAGTTACTGTATCTCTAGATTCTGTTAAGTATAAGCTTCATTTTATGCAGATTGCAAACCTTGTTGGCTATGTTATTGGACCATCAGGAGCTAATTGGTTGATGTCTCAATTTCTTACAAGAGAAGGTATGGAGTTGCCTGGTACCTTGTTTTTCGTACTTTGGGAACATGCAGCTGCATTAGTTGATGCTATATTTTATCGTACAGGATTGCCTGTGTTGGGCGGCATGTTTATGTCCTTCTATGTTGGGACGAAGGTAAATGGAATGAATTGTTTAAATTATTCCAATGAATTCGATGTATATATTGCAGTGACTTAACATTTTACTCAAGGGTCTGATCACCAGTATCTTCTTTTTGTATGAAATTTTCTTATTCTGCAGCTTATGTTCCACATCCAAGATGCCAAGCAAAGGCGGCAATAAAATAGGTGGGTGAATGATTTTTACTTCTTGGCGTATGTTCCATACTGGTAATTTGCAGTTAGTGTGGATGAGGAGGCATTCATTCTGAGGACTTGGATTTACTCGATTAATTTTCCAATGGCTGCCATACTTGTCATTGGCCAATTGTAACAAAATTACATTTTACACTTGAATTGTATAAGGTAACAGTGACAATCTTAAATCTTAAATATAATAATTATTATCTTATTTTTTCATACGATTTTTACCCATGTGGGGGCTATTAATCAAATTAGTGGCTTTGGAAGATCACCTCCATAAATTAAAAGACCATAAATCCCATTAATAATTTAAAAATTAATTTCTGAACTAAATTAATTTGTTCCCCACATTTAAACTAAATATCATATATATATATGTATATATATATATATAATTCAGGTGTCATAAAGGTATTATTATTAAATAACGGAAATCATCAAATTTTTATAGTAAAACAAATCAAAATCACACGAAGAAAGGCCACTAAAATGGAATTTAAATAATTGTAACTAAAAAGGGGTTGAATGTCCCAACTCACATGTGTGCTCACAGATAAATGTGCTAACAATAAATTTTTCAAACTCTAGTAGCCTTTGACATAAACCTATCATTTGTATTTTCGGTCATGACATGCACCCGTTACTACCAATGAATTAGACTTTTTAGTGATAAACTCAAATTTCCTATCACAGCAACAATTTTTAGCTTCCTCACCACTAGCGGTGACGGTTCTGGGTACGTTGCTTCAGAATCGGAATCGCACAGTGCAGGTTTCCAAAAAAAAAAAAAAAAAGAACTGAAATCGAAACTGCACAATGTAGGTTCTTAAATTCAAGGATCTGGGACCTAAAATGCAGGTTTTGTTCCTTACCCGAGTACCCTAAAAAATTTCAATCATCCCCCTATTAGTTTAAAAATGAAAAAAATATCTTAAAAATTTTAGAAATACACCCCCATTGCAAATTGCAGCAGTCCAGCTGCAAGCCTGCAATTGGTGATGTCCAGTTATATAAAATATAATCATACATAGCATTGTGCTTTACATATATGTCGATTATAGTTAGAGTTTATGGATTATAATTCTGAGAAATTGCTTCAAAGAAATGAAACCCAGTTCACAAATCACTAATCTCTTTTGATTACAATTGTTTTGAGGGGCCAAAAGAGAAGCCCCACAAGCACAAGCACACCACAAAGGCAACTAAACAGAAGAAATAAAGAAAAGAGAGAATATGATTACAGCATATAATGCCAAAGAGAGAATAATACTAAGATATGTGATTATTTCATATCACGCACCTTCAATCTAAGTATATCCCTTGGGAGATCAATAATTGAATTTCCAGAAACATAGGATAAGAAGACGAGAGAGAACGGAGAAGAAGAGATCAAGAGATATTGAGATAATACCATTTCGACTTGCCCTAATCCAATTGGTATTTTGCTTTGGTGTTTGTAAATGTAAACTTACCAATACCCCATTGTTTTATACTAACACAGAACAGGGGTCTATTTGATAACTATGTTTATAAACTAATGTTATAATTGGGTATTTATAATGTACTAAATACTAATGTAGTAAATTTAATGTTAAATTATTAATGTTTGTAAGTAATATGCTATGTTGTAATTAATTAAGTAATTATTAATTATAATATATGTTGTAATTAATTAAGTAATGATTTAATTATAATATAATGTTAAATTAATTAAGTAATCATACTATATATCTATAATGTAATTTATAATTAATTAAGTTTCTAATCATTTAATTAAGTATTGTACTAATATTTAATTAATGTTATAATTATAAGTAATTATTCTATAATGTAATGTTATAATTAATTAAATTTTTAATCATTTAATTAAGTAATGTACTAATGTAGTAAATTAATAATATTTATATTAATATCATAATTAATTAAGTAATTATTTAATTATATAATGTTATAATTAATTATGAGATCTACTATATGTATGTTACAATGAATTAAGTATTCATACTATAATCTATAATTTAATATTATAATTAATTAAATTTATAATCTTAATTAAGTATTGTACTAATTTAGTAAATTACAAATATTTATAATATAATGTTATAATTAATTAAGTAATCATTTAATTATATAATGTTATAATTAATTATATGATTATAATGTACACGATATAATCAATTAGGGGTGTTTGTCTGAGCTTATAAAAATTAGCTTATAAAGCAACAAGTGCTTATAAGCATTTGAATTTTAAACATTACGTTTTGGTTAAAGTACTTATAAGTTATAAGTGACTGATAAGTAGTTAACGTGTTTGGTAAAATATGACTTATAAGTACATTTTATTATAAAATGCTTAAAGGGTACTACTTAATAAGGGTTACTATGAATTTAAATTAAACAAGGATAATGTGTAATATATTTGCAAACTAGGGGGTGTTTATCTTAGCTTATAAGCAACAAGTGCTTATAAGCTAAAATTAGCTTAAAATTAGCTTAAGCATTTGAAATTTTAAGCAATTACGTGTTTGGTTAAGTATTTATAAGTGACTGTAATTAGTTGACATATTTGGTAAAATGTGCTTTATAAGTACATTTTTTATAAAATGACTAAAAAAGGTACTACATTAAATAAGGGTATACTATGGAATTTTAAATTAAACAAGGATAATGTGGTAATATATTTGGTCAAACTAACTTATAAGCAGGTGCTTATGCTAAAAAAAAAAAAAAAGTATCTCCCCCTGCTTATTTTTTTTTAGCTTATAAGCTCAACTTATAAATTCAAAAAAGTTATAAACAACAGGTCGCTAATTTTAGAGCTTATAAGCTAGTTTGACCACTTATAAGCTTAGACAAATACTCTCTAGTTTATAACCAGAGTGCTTATAAGGCAAAAAAAAAAAAAAAAAAAGATATCTCCCCCCCCCCCCCCCCCCCCAACCCGAACTTTTTTTTTTTTTTTTTTTGGCTTATAAGCTCAAAAAAGTTATAAACAACATGTCAACTTAATTTTAGAGCTTATAAGCTAATTTGACCAGCTATAAGCTTAGACAAACTCTAAGTTATCATACTATAAATCTTAATGTAACATTATAATAATTAAATCTCTAATCATTAATTAAGTATTGTGTTAACGTAGTAAATTACTAATATTTATAATAAATGTCATAATTAATTAAGTAATCATTTAATTATATAATGTTTTTAATTATATGATCATAATATAAACTATATATAATGTTATAATGAATTAAGTAATTACACTATAAATCTTTATGTAATATTATAATTAATTAATTCTAATCATTTGTTTATAATGCATGTATAATTAATTAGTAATTATACTATAAATCATAATGTAATGTTATAATTAATTATATTTTTAATTATTAGGAGAACGACATTTTCCCACCCAAGGCTTGGTGAAACGACACTGTCCTACTCATCAAGTTTCAAAATGACACTTTCCCACCCTTCGTCAAGTTCTGTTATTATTTTCTGTTAATATTTGACTGGAAAGATAAAAAAAACCTTAATAGTTTTTTCTTAATTAGTTTATTAATAATTAAAATTTAATTAAACAAAGTCTTCACTCAATTATTTACTGTTCAGTGTAAAGATATATTTTTTTTTCCTTTGTTTATTAATTAATTAGGAATATTAATTTTCTTGTTAATTAGTAAAAATAAAAAACATTATGGCTTCGTTTGGTTGAATTTTGGGAATACTACTTTTAGTATTCCCAAAAAAGTTAAACAGTAAAATACCCAAAACTCACAATATTATTCAACTTTATTCACATTTTTTAAACCCTCTAAATTTGTTATTCAATTAAATACCCCTAAATATTTTTAATATTTTTGTTACGGCAACTCCGGCCACCCTCCAGCGTGGTGGCCGGCTGTCCTGTGTTTGAGGGTGGATTGGGGTGTTTTTTTAACTTTTAATATTTATTGTAAGGGGTGTTTTTGTAAAAAAACAAACATAGGGTATTTTATAAATTGTAAATCCTACATCGTAATACCCGCCAATTCAACTTTTTTTTTAACTTTTTCAAAAAACTTTTCCCAAACACCAAATTGTGAACCAAACGGAGCCTATAATTATTAGATTATTGATAACTGATGAGATTATATGACTATAAATAAATAAAATCAAGATCATTTAAAATAATAAAAAATTTATAAAGTCAATATTTAAGGGTATTTTCATCTTTTTAATAAAATATTAATGGAAAACATAACAGAACCTAACGAATGGGAAAGTGTCATTTCGCCAAATCGTGGTGGGAAATTATCGTTCTCCCCTAATTATTTAATTAAGTAATTTATTAATTACTAATGTAATGTTATAAACTTATAATTCATTAAGTAGTCTTAATTAGTAACGTATTAATTTTATCAATTTATCATATATAATTAATTAATTATAGATATACTTAGAACTTGATAATTGAAGTAAATAACTAAATATTATATTATATTATTATTAAATCAAATATATTATTTTATTCAAAAATAATTCTTTTAATAACATTAAAAACTTTTAATTGGATCCTAATTCTAATATACACTTAATTAACAAAACTTTAATATATATATTATATATATTAAAGTTTTTATATGGCGTAGTTTATATGTAATAAGTATAATTTTATATTTTTTAATTAGGTTATTGTAAAATTTAATTTTTTCATTTTAAATTTTTTTTATATGTAAAATTACAAGAGACTCCCCATTCTTCACAGATATTTCATTTCAACCCAAGTTTCAATCCGGTACCCACCTCGATTCCAAACTAGGTACCCGTTGTACGTTCCAAGCAGGTACCTGCTGTAGGTTTTTTTTTTCTAGGTTTCACTTTCGGTTCTGGTTCCTCCACATGTGGGACCCGAAACCGAAACTGCACAGTGTTGATTCCATAAAATGGAATCGGAACTTACCCACACAGTGTTGATTTGGGTAGGTTTCAGTTCGGTTTTGATTCTACCTGTAGGTTCCGATTCTACCAATAACCTGCTCACCCCTACTCATCATTTCCTTTTTGTTGTCAAATAAATACCCTACGTGCAAGTTCGATCAATTGGTAAAAACATGAGATGATTCACTACTACTTGCGATTGCGCGCCTTTGAATCTACATAAAGGACTGTAGTGTTCTCTTCCTCACAAACTACAACTTCTACCAATCTGTATTTATAGGAATCTCTACATCTACAAGAACAGTGGTGTCCTCCTCGTCCACAGTTTATTCTGCCTCCCATGACTAACCGCTTCTACAGTGTCCTCTTTACCCCCAAATCACCGCCTGCTCTTGATTTTCCAACAAAGAAATCAATGCCGTCATAGTTAAAATTAAAACCTGCATCTCTCACACCAACTTGCTCGTTCTCCTTTCCTTTGAACTAACTTTCCCAAGGTTTATCCGCAATAGAACCCTTAAAACCGGCCTTAACCATTACTGACCACATCAAACATATATTCACACTTCATTAGACTTTAATACAACAAGGGGTATCTTTATAATGTTCAGGAACTCTGCTTAAACATATTTCACAACAATATCACTATATGAGCAACTCAACCCACCTCTTCTAATAATTTCATCAATCAGCTCATTCAAACTAACTTTTGTACTCATAGCAATTGCTATAACTCCTTTACTCTTCCCGATCTACTTCTAACAACTTTTGTCCTCCACTCACTCACCAAATATTCAACACCCGAACAATTTTTTCCTTGTCTAATAATACCATGTACCTATAATGCAAGAAAAAATTATTAACCGATATATTAGGGTTGATGATTTTAAAGAGCATCTATAGAGTTGCTTAAGCGATCTGGTGTATTGCTTAAGCGATCTGTGTATCCTTACACATCGGTATAGATATTCTGATCGCTTAAGCGATCTTCTACCATATGTCTTATCGCTTAAGCGATTTGCTGCCATATACCGATCACATAAGCGATCCATCAGCTCTGGAATCCATTTTTCATCATCTACATCTATAATCTGTTGTGGCAATTGCTACCACCCCTAGCTACCCCAATGCAGAAAATCATCAACAAATTTACTCATTTCAACTTGCATTACATCAAACACAACCCAAGAACCTAAACACTAAATCAAAATCATAACTCAAACCCAGTCCATTAATCTTTGTGGATGAATCTAAAATACAAAGAGGAGTAACACAAACCTGGATGAAATGTTAGGAGGAGAGGAGGAGCTTCTAGTAGAAGATGTTAATGGTGGGCAAGATGTTATAGTGGAGGAAGAAGAATGTGAGGAAGTACAAGATGTAGAGAAGGAGGTGGGCTTGATTTTGCTAAGAAGACAACAACAGGGAGGGAGTTTCGACATCGTTAATGGAGGGAGAGAGGGAGCAAATTCTTTGTTTTGGGTTTGGGTTTTCTTGCAACAATTTCAGGTTTTGGGGACAAAGATAATTTTTAAAAATTAATCAATGCTTCATTAATCCTAATAAAAACTGATTAGTGCTTAATGTCATTAATTACTCTTATAAAAATAAAGATATTTAGTTAATACTTTGACACTTATAACCTTGCAATTAATTCAAAGGCTAGGATGGTCTTTAATCTTTTGCCCCCATATTTGTTAGCTACTGGCTAGGGTAATTCGTTTGGTACTTTGTTAAATTTTGTATCGGGGTTGTTTTAGCTAAAGTAAAAAAATTCTCCAAATAATAATATTAAAAAAAAAAAAAAAAAAAGGTAATTCGGTAAAAAGCCTTTCCCAACTTCTTTTATTTCTCTTAATCAATATATTAATTATTTATATTTATTGATTTATTCTAATTTAATAAAACATATCGAACATTCTCAATCATCCTAAAGGTAATATATGTTTTTTATTAATAAACTAAACGCTCTCTTAGAGTGTGCAGAGGAGTTATCTTATTCGTAAAGAGTTGTTTATTAGAACATTAGATTGCCAGAAAGAACATTGGCTTAAAAAAAATTTGGTTCTTTTCTGCGCAACAATCCAGTGAAGTCAAACTTTTTCAAAAGCATTTATCAATAATCTTTCGCAAACGTGGCATAATGGAGGTGGGGCTTTGTTCTTTTAACTTTTAAGTGATCATGAACTCTCCCTACGTCAGTGATTGGACCCATACTATCCACGTGGTAGCAATCCCAGGCTAACTGCCCGTAGGCCGCACCAATATATAATAAATAAAGTCTTCTGTACTCCTGCGCCAAAAATGCCCACTTCACATCACGAAGTTCTCTACTTGTTAACGGAAGTCCTCTGAATATGGCCATAATTCTTGAGCACTCTTTTGTGAAGATGAATCGAAACATATGTTGTTACTTGCTTCGAGTGGAGGGGGTTGTGTTGGTGTTGTCGGAATTGGCTTCAGGCAAAGTGTGAGTACGTGGGTGCTCCAGGTTCTTCCATGAAGATGACACAGGAGCAGATTTTTAAGCATTGATGAAGCTGGGATGGTTATTAATGGGTAAAGTTCTTTTTTTTTTTTTTTTTTTTTAAAGGTTATTTATTATGTTACTTACAGGATTACGTTGCTGGTGCCTGGTGATCATTTTTTATTTTTTTTTTTGAATTTTTTGGGAAAATGTGAAGATCTTGAGAAATATTATGAATTGTACATAATTATCTTGTGAATAATGCCTTTGTTAAGAAGATATCTCAGCTGATCTTTGTGATGTCTGCGATGTTATTTTTACCTTTCTTCTAATTCTTTGCTGATTTTAGCTTCTGATTGATGGGGTTTTTGGTTTTCCTCATTTTGATACACTTTGTATCATGCCTTTTTTTCTAAAAAACATTTTTTTAGTTAGATCTAAGTGAACTCTGAAATGTTTGATTTGTTTTCTTATTTTCCTGTTTATAGAGTGGAATAAGTTCGTGTGTTAGCTGTTTTTTATGACTGTTTCTATATTTTAATATTGATTAGGTGTTTTCATGTTTATAATAAACCGTTCTTCAGTACTCTTAGATCTTGGACTCTAGGAAGGCTGCTGAATATGTTGGTTTATTTTATTGCATTCCTAGAATTTGCAGTCCTTGATGACTGGATAAATATCTTACTTTTTGCTCACGGATATGCAACTTGGAAATGTCACTTTTTATTTTTGTTTAATTTATTAGCTGTTTTTAGTCATAAATTTCAGGATCAACTTCAAGTGGTTTTCTTTTGAATAATTGTTGGAGATGATGAAAACTGATCATGTTGTTAAGCTAAGAGACTTGACTATGAAATATCTCCATAAACCTAATTTACAAGATGCTAGAATTTGGAATCTTGAATGCATCATATTATAGTCAAATTTTGATAGCTATATCTAAGATATTGAGGGTTTAATGTGATTACTGTTCTGGCTCTGGAACAGCTTGCCCCATGAATTGAACATCTTTCAGCTTCAGGAAGTCAAAAGCCCTGGGAAAGATACTGTGGTGAAGAAGGATAGCGAGGATGCTCCACCAACTTCTGTGGTGAAGAAGGATAGCGAGGATGCTCCACCAAATTCTGTGGTGAAGAAGGATAGCAAGGATGCTCCACCAACTTCTGTGGTGAAGAAGGATAGCGAGGATGCTCCACCAACTTCTGTGGTGAAGAAGGATAGCGAGAATACTCCATCGGCCAAGGTTGTGTGTCAAAAACCGTATATGCTTGACTACATTAGATGTTTTATTTAGCACTAATTCTTTTAGTTCTTTCAGTTGTCTCACTATAGAACTTCTTCATGCCTACGCCCACAGGAAGTTCCTTCTGACAATGAGTTTGAGAAACGCTTAAGGCCAGAGGTTATCCCTGCAAATGAGATTGGAGTGACTTTAGATGATATTGGAGCCTTGGATGAGATTAAAAAATTACTACACGAGCTCGTCATACTACCTCTGGAGAGTCCAGAACTCTTCATAGGTAACCTTTGTAGGCCCTGCAAAGGTATCTTACTATTTGGGCCACCTGGTACTGGGAAAACCATGCTGGCAAAGGCCATTGCAAATGAAGCTGGGGCAAGTTTCATCAATGTCTCAATGTCAACCATCACTTCCAAATGGTTTGGAGAAGATGAAAAGACTGTTCGAGCATTGTTCACTCTTGCAGCAAAGGTCTCTCCAACTATCATTTTTGTGGATGAGGTTGATTGCATGCTTGGGGAGAGAACTAGAGCTGGAGAGCATGAGGCCTCGAGGAAGATTAAGAATGAATTCATGACTCAGTGGGATGGATTGATGGAAAAATCTGGTGAGAGAATTCTTGTTCTTGCTGCAACCAATAGACCTTTTGACCTTGATGAAGCCATTATCAGGCGTTTTCAGCACAGGTAAAATTTCATATTTGTTTCCTTATACCTTCTATCTCAAAATTTTTGCCAAGAAGTTTCTGATTTACTGACCATCTTTATAATTCAAGCAAGGTTTCACAGACATTCATATCAAATTGTTATTGAGTTTTACCACTCTCAAGTTACTGTTTTCTAAATGACTTAGCATCTTCTTACAATCATCTTAACTTATTCTAAGTCTATTTTAAAGGAGTTAACACTGTCAATCAATCCTACAACATTATTGACACTCCAATTTTGATGCATTTAAATGACAATCATCACCTATCAAAGATCATCCTAATATTTCCATGGGAACCTTGCTGTAGAATAATTAATTCTAGGGCTGCATTGCTGAGATATTAAAATGTTACTTCATTTTAACTAATCAGTGCAAATATATGTTGTGCAGAATTATGGTTGGTCTGCCATCGGTCAAGGACAGGGAAATGATCTTTAAAATTCTTCTGTCAAAGGAAAAGGCAGAAGATCTCAACTTCAAGGGGCTTGCAGCTATGACAGAAGGATATACCGGAAGTGATCTCCAGGTTTGTTATAGTTATTTGTAAAAATTCATTTTAATTAATTTATGATTGACCAAATTGGCTGAGGACATGAGAATTGCATTGTTGGCAACAGAACTTGTGTAGGGCAGCAGCGGTTCGACCTGTTTTAGAGCTTGCACAGAAGAAGGGGATGATGGATACGGTGAGTACATGAACTCTTCCTCCATATCAGTGGCATTCCTATTTTAGTCCCCCATATGATTCATTATCTGAATTGCTGCTCTTACTAACCTTATACACAGGTAGGGAATAAAAGAAAGGCAGCAGGGAAGAGCTCTGAAGATGCTTTAGACTCAAAAGGAAAAGGCAAAGAGGAGCAAGCAATTGAATTGAGAACTCTGAACATGGAAGATCTGAGGGAAGCAAAGAATCGGGTAACTTAACCTGAACTCCCTCAGCTCTCAAATGCGATGGACTTCTTTCAGCTCAGCATACTTAGACTGGTTGGAACTTTGTTCATAAATGTCAATGCTATGTATTAAAGTTGATATTTTAATACTACAATGCAGGTTGCTGCAAGTGTTTCTGCTGAGGGAGAAGGAATGAGCAAGCTAAGGCAGTGGAACGAGTTTTATGGAGACGGAGGTTCAAGGAAGAAGAAGCAGCTGCTAACTTACTACGTGTAGAGAGCCGGAAACTTTCTCGAGTCTTAACGTATAAAACTGTGTGGAGAATGATGGACTATTTTAATAATTATTGGGTGTTCGCTACGTGAATGTATACTATGTGAATGTGTGAATGTATTATACGAGAATGTATTTTATGTGAATGTATTATGGTATTTGGCTATGCTCTGGTACTTAATATTGGATTGTTTTGATGATGTCTTGTTGTCTAAAACTCTTTGGATCGTAGAATGTTTTATTGTTGAAAAAGTAGGATTACCAGTGAGATAGATTATCTTGAAGATTACGGGAGAATGTTATATTAATATGTTTGGTTAAATTAATGGATATAAACAATTAGGGTGTGTTTGTTTTAGTATTTTTGATGGTATTTTTGATATTTTTAGCGTTGGGTGGGAATAACGAGATAGGATTTGAAAATTAAAAAAAACATCTCATGAGTTTGTTAAATAACTAAACACCTTTGTAATAAAAACATTAAAAATCACAAAAAAACTCTCACCCACTCATTAAATTCCAATAGCCTATCACCATTGTCGGAGGGTGGTTGGAGTCTTTGTATCGGTGCATGATCAGTTGGATCTGGTCGGTTGTGTGCTAAGATGGCATTTTCCAACTAGATCCATAGTAGATTTGGCCGAAAAAGGCCAGATCTGCGACTAGATCTGGTCGTTGACGGTCAGATTTGCCCATGTTTAGTCGTTAACAACAGTTGTGGATCTAACCGAAAAATGATAGATCGGCGCACAACTGGTCAAATCCAGCCGATAGTGCACCATTATACTAGATTTTGGCCACCTTCTTGCAGTAGTGGCCGGAATTTGGCAAATGTGGGTGGGTGAGGGTGTTTTTGTTAATTTCTAAACTTTTTCTAGGGGTGTTTAGATAAATTGATAAACTTAAGGGGATTAAAAGTAGTTAAAAAAATATAATAGTATTTTTAGAATATGGAACAAACTGGTATTTTGGAAATAGTATGAATAGGATAGTTAAAAATATTTAAACAAACAGAGTGCGTTTATTTTAGTATTTTGGATAATATTTTTGAAAAAGTAAGAGTTGGGTGGTAACAACGAGGTAGGATTTAAAAATTACAAAAACACCCCATAGATTTGTTAATTTACTAAACACCCCTACTGTAATAAAAACATTGAAAATTATAAAAACACCCTCACCCACCCATTAAATACCAACAGCTGGCCACCACTGCTGAAGGGTGGTCAGAATCGTTGTATCGGGGAGCCAGTAGTGTACCGAGATGACATTTTCTAGCCAGATCCACGTGGATCTGGCCTTATGGTCAACGACGGCCATATCTTATTCGTCATTGACGATTAGCCATGACCAAGGATCTTTGGCTGTAAATATGGCTTTTTCCAATCAGATCCACGGTGGATCTAGCCGAAAAAGTCTATATTGGCGCACTATTGGCCAGATCTAGCAAATAGTGCGCCATTATACCAGATTCTGGCCACCTTCCGATGGTAGTGGCAAAACTAGCAAATGTGGGTGTGGTGGGAGTGTTTCTGCTTTTAAATTTTTTTTTTTTTTTTTTTTTTTTTTTTTTTTTGTGTTTAGTTAAATTAACAAACTTAGGGGTTTTAAAAAAATTGAATAAGTATAATAGTATTTTCAGAATAGGAAACCAAATGTGCATTTTGGAAATGATAGAGATAGGATAGGGTAAAATAGGGAACAAACAAAAATAAGATATTTGGTTGGAAGAATAATATATCGATAGAAGATTTTATTGAATATACTTGCTTTTAATACATTATACTACTTTAAACCCTCTATATTTGAGAATTGTAAAAACACCAAAAACAGAGTTAAAATTTCAACAAAATGCCCCCAACCACCCAAGACCATCGCCAATCGTCAATTATTGCCGTCGGCTGCTGGCGATAGTCATTGAAATGGTGCACAGACCAACGAGATTTGGTTGGTCGTACATCGTTTTCGCTATTTCAACTATATCAAGGACCAAAAACAACCAGATCATCCTAGATCTAGCCGAAAACGGCCAACAAAGCTAGATTTTTGTCCATTTTCGACCAGATCCATGAAAATCTGGCCGTTTTTTGCCTTTGATATGGACAAAAATAGCCAGATCCTGCCATTCATGCATCGATCTGGTGACTGGTGCTGGTGACTGGCAGTGGTGGCTGGCAATCGGCAATGGGCTTAGTGGTTGGGGGTATTTTGTTAACTTTGAATTTTTTATGGCTGGAGCGTTTTAGCTAAATCCTCAAATACAAGAGGCGGCTATTGTATTTCGTAGGCATTTGAGGACAATTCAGTCCAAATGACTTTATTTAAGGGCAAATTTGGTATTATAAAAAAAAAAAAAGATAACCCAAGCAAAAAAAAAATAACACCCTTAACTAGGTAATCTGATAACCCCTACAATGACCAACAATATTCACTATTGGGAGTGGAAACATTCCCGTAATCTTATATTACTGTCAAACCAAACAAAGTAATGTTTGAATCAACGATAGATAACAAAGATGATCTGCTCACAACCCGAACAAACACAACCCTAAGGTGTAATGAGTGGACTTTGTGAGACATTTCCTATTGGGCATGTCTATTATCAAAAGGTCATGTATCTTCAAAGGGTCATATATCTTCAAAATGACTCAAAATGTGCCATATTGAAAGGTTTTCCAAAAGGTACCTTATTTTAAAAGTACAACAATTCTATCTAAAAGTAAGTTTTTGTGAAATACATGACAAGAAGACTACAATTCTAGTATAACCAAACTCTTTCTAGTCGTTTTATTTGGCATAACACAAGCAGGTTCTTCATTGTATCTAAAGAAATTCATTGATCCTATTTGCACTATAAAGGGCAAAATTTCCTTTAGAAAAGTGGCATTGATACACGCCTTAAAGTTGGTAGCCACTATCTTGGTTCTAAATCTAAAGGAAATTTCATTACTTCTATTTGCAACAATGGTTGCCCCTGAAGGAGATGGCTACTGACTTCGTGAGTTAGAGAGGTTTGATGGAGGAAATTATTCAATGGCCGAGAAGGTTAATTTTCTTTTGGTGTCTCTGCAAGTTGCTTTGTGTTGACTACTCCAAACCTGCGAAAAGGAGAATATGAAACCATTGTTGAAACAAGGAAGCGGCTGAAATTTGAACATGATGATGAAATCTGCAAGGGACACATGTTGAATGCAATGTCAGATGCTTTATTTGACATTTATCAAGGAGTGCCTACCACAAGAGAATTGTGGGAGAAACTAGAGACAAAGTACATGCAAGTGGATGCTACAAGTAAGAAATTTCTTGTCTCTCGTTTTAATTCGTATAAAATGGTACATAATAGACCTATTATGGAACAACTTCATGAAATTGAAAGAATTCTAAATCGTTTCAAAATGCATAAAATGCATATGGATGAAACCATCATTGTCTCTTCAATAATTGATAAATTACCCCCATCATGGAGAGATTTCAGAAGAAGTCTCAAATATAAAAAAGATGACATATCACTTGATGATTTGTCCAAATCTTTGCATGTGGAAGAAGAATTTCCTTTGCAGGATGAACCAAAGGAACAATCAATTCTGGTTTCCAAAATTCATATGGTGGAAGAAAAACAAAACTTCCAAGTCTACAAATAAGAGGGTTTTCCATGGTCCTGGTGTTGGACATAAAAGCAAGAAACCAAAGAAAGAAGCAAAATGTTTCTTTTGTGGAAATCATGGCCACTTCAAGAAGGATTGTCGATTCTGGAAAAAAAAAGGAGGAGAAGTACTCTACTACTGTGGAAAATGAGAACCTAGTAGCAATGATTTATGAGATCAATCGAAGATAATTCTGCATGGTTGGTTGATTCTGGTGCAACAAGAAATGTCAGCAAGAACAAGGATTTTTTCAAATCCATTGAACTAGTTCAAGATGACATGGTGTTGTTCATGGGAAACTCCTTTACTACCCAAGTCAAGGGAATAGGAAAAGTAGAGTTAGAATTTACATTTGATAAGAAATTAAAATGATAAGAAATTAAAATGAACTAATATGTATTATGTACCAGAGGTTAGAAAGAATCTTGTATCTGGTGGTTTATTGAACAAATTTGGGCTCAAACTTGTATTTGAGGTAAATAATTTTGTTTTGTCCAAAGGGGGCATGTTTGTTGGGAATGGTTACTTGTGTGATGGCATGTTCAAACTCAATATTGCCAATGACTAATAATAATAATAATAATAAAGTTGTTCCTACTTATATTGTTGAGTGTGAAATTTTAAGGCATTATAGACTTGGACATGTGAATTTTAGAAGATTGCATGACATGGTTAGATTAGATCTATAGGTTAAAAGAACAAAATCTAAGTAGGTACACCAATAATGCAGTAATTTACACTAGCATGGTGTTAAAAGATTACTAAGGTACCATTGTGGCCAAAACCAATAGAGCCAATTTATATACATTGTGAGAGTGAAACTACTTTATCAAGAGCTTATAACCATGTATATAATGGAACGTCAAGATACATAATTAACTATGTCAAGTCAAGTTAGAATCTAGCTGATCCTTTAACAAAGGGTTTAGCAAGAGACTTCATAAATAAAACATCAAGGGGGATGGGTCTCAGCCTATTGAATATAATCACCAATAATGGAAATTCAACTTAACGATTGATACAACATCAAGTCTTGAGTTCAATGAGTCGAAGTACATTATGTAGAGTTGTAGAAAGTACTATAAATTTTCTATACATCCCAAAGCAAAAAATAGTACTGGTTCTCATAGTCTTGAAAGGAAGGTTGAGTATACTTTAATAGACTATTGATGGTTTTCATCAAAGTGCAAAATAGCAGGGGCACTTTTGATAGAGTCTACCTATATGAGAGTAAAGTGGTGCCGCTTTTAAGAGCTTAAGGCTTGGCTCTAAAATCTCTACGAATGATACAGACACATGGCCTTTACGTGTCAACCACGATTGAAATGTTTTGGTATCAAAGTGATATGTGTGAACTTTATACAACTTGTCAAAAAGATTGTATGATTCAAAGTTTGTCTACCATATTATTCAGATTTGTTGTAACAAACTTTTACTATGTAATGGTTCAAATTGCAAAATACCATATTTATGCATATTACTCATAGAATATTGTTGGATCTAGCATGTATTATCAAATTAAAAAATGGCAGGGGATTGTGAGACATTTTCTTGGGCATATCTATTATCAAAATGTCATATATCTCAAAAGTCAT